CACCTGAGCATGGAAATTATCTGGCATAAGGGTGGTTTTAGGATATGGAAGAATCCTGTGAAGCTGTGATTGTGAGGGTGGAAGCTGTAGATGTCAGTGGGCGAAAGGAACAAAGATGCTTAAAGGACTGCATAGATGGGCGGCAGAAGTCTTACTAAGAATGGGTTATGGTATTGTACTTTGGAATTTGCATGTGTGATAATATTAATGTTGGCTGCTGGAATATAGAACATGAGGAAAAAGGGAGTGGCCATTTGAAAGGACGAAAGGATTTAGGCAGAAAGCAATATCTTCATGGGAGCTAAATCAGTTTTCTATGACTGCTATAACAAATTACCACAAACTTAGTGGCTTAAAACATCACAAATTTTTATCTCGTAGTTCTACAGGTGAAAATTCTGAAGTGAGTCTTACTAAGCTAAAATCAAGGTCTCAACAGAACTGTGTTCCCTCAGGCGGCTCTAGGGGGAGAATCCATTTCCTTGTGTCTTCCAGCTTCTAGAGACCACCCACATTCTTAGTCACGGCCCCATTCCTCCATCTTCAAAGCAAGCATTGGTGGGCCTAGTTTTCCTCACGTTGCATAACACTGGTTGGTTCTCTACTTGCATCACCACATCTTCTCTCTTTTACGAACCCATGTGATTATATTGGGCTCGTCTGGATCAATCAGGGTAGCCTCCCCATCTAAATCACATCTGCAAAGCTCCTTTTGCCAGATAAGGTAACATATTCACAGGTTCTAGGAACTATGGAAGGACATCTCTGAAGCTCCATTTTTCTGCCTGTTATGGGAACTATGATTCGATTAAGGCAAAGAGGTTTTGAAAACCTGTTGCAAGTTCATTGTGGTCTTAGGGATTTATTTATCACAAAATAAGGATCTCAGAAGGCATGGTGGAAAGGTTTGAGAGCAGCAATAAAATAGGGTCAGAATGTGGTTTTAGTGTTCATATTATCTCCAGTAGAAATGACCTTTCTGAACTTGTTCACATCGTGATTCATTCAATGGAGATGTTATCTTTGTTATTAACAAAGACCAATGGGTTAAAATTGGGATTTTGCAGTATGTTCATAAAAGAGGCAAACTCTTTCAAGGTTTTATTGGCCTTAACCATAGACAGATTTTTAAAACAATATCATAAAGTATTGATTTACTAGAAGAAAATTAATTTTAACTTATTTATTTATGGTATTGACTTCTTTTGTTTAACTGCTCTAAACTGTCAACTAAATATGCCTTAAGGTTATGATTGTACATAAAGTGCTTAAATAAAATTTATTTAGGCCACTCACACATTTCTCACAGGCAACAGCATAGTTGCAATGAAGCTGTTACTTGCATCAACAAATGAGGCTGGTCTCAAAATAATAACTGAAGATAAATTTGTATATGATCAAGCCATACTTGGAATCTCAAGTCACTCACGAAAAATGTCATCCCATTACTAGATTTAACTACCAAATGTTACTACAGTAAAAACATCATAATAGCCTTTATTATAAAAATTGTCCAACTATTATTGTTACTAGTTTATTTAATTTAGTAACTCAAAAATAAAGCAAAAAGCAGAGATAAAATATTACTGTTTCCAAAGGCATACCATAATTCAATAAAGATTGACAGCAACTATTTATGACATGACATGTTCTGATTAATAAAAAGGAACATGGAGCTTTGTGTTCTATGAAACAGAATCATAAAGAAGTAATTTAAATGTTCATCTAGCAATCAATCAAGTTTGGGAATAGGGTCAATGAATACCTGTGCAAAGTGATGTGACAGAGGAATTATAGATATTTCATGTGTGCAAAGCAACTCTTCATTATTTTGTTACAAATATTATAGTCTTTGAAATACACATTAAAATGTTCTTCAAATTTAAGAAGTATCCCAATTTACAATCTAATTTGACATTTTCTTCCATTTTTGCATTATTCTATTCCAAGAACATTATTAACCATGTGTTATCATGTATGGATGAAGTGAAAGCATCCTCTAAAGATCTGGACTTCTCTTTGTACATAAAAAGAATGGTACTTATCTAAAGCAGGGATGTTCTAATAGTTTATCTTTTTTTAAAATCATTAGTAGACTGAAAAATTAGAAACTGCAGAACACATGCATTTTTAAAATTAAAAAGATAGATGTGTCTAGCCTTCAAGATATTAAAAAATATGGATTTTAATAATAATTCAAAAAGGCACACAAAAAAGTTTAACTTGTTTGTTACTTTTAAATGATTACTTCAACTAGTTTTAGCCATTAATTAAGAGATAGGCATTTGAAATCTTACTGATAAAGGTGAGAAAATTTCAGTAATGACCTTAGTTTTGACCTGATAATAATGAGTATTCAATATTCAATTCTCATGTATTTTCAGTGTCAAATTTGAGGTTTCATAAAAGTGTATGTCCTTTTACAGACTCAGATGGATTTACTTATTGTGCAGAACTGTCATACATAACTAAAAATTCCAGGATGATTCTGGGTTCCACTTAATTATTTTCAAAATGTTAGAGTTATAGGTTTCTTGGTGAATATACTTTCTTGTTGACTCAATCAACTTCTCTTGAAAGTTAAACACATTGATATGTCAGATAATTGATACCTCAGACCTATGCTGAAATTCTCAAATCAGTGATAGTCTCAGGAGCCTAGATTATGATTTCTGCTTATGAAAACCCTTGACTTTTCTAAGAAGTTTAGGCATTTCCTTTATCTCACTTTGAAGTTCTACAAACTCTGGGACTCTCTTGATCTTAGAATTCTTTCAATTTTTGTCTTCTTCTGGATATTACCCTCTTTTTTTTTGTCTTTTTCATGACCGGTAAGGGGATTGCAACCCTTGGTGTGGTGTCGCCCGCACCACGCTCAGCCAGTGAGTGCACCGGCCATTCCTATATAGGATCCAAACCCGCAGCGGGAGCGTCGCTGCGCTGCCAGCACCGCACTCTCCGGAGTGCGCCACAGGGTTGGCCCGAGTATTACCCTCTTGACAATTAAAATGTAAATGAATGCATCATACTTCCTCCAATAAATAACCAATGCACTTGTTTTGTTCTTGCAGTTTTAATTTTAGTGTTTAGGGTGTTTAATTATACCCATTAGATTATACAACCCCATCAGTCATTAGAGATCAAAAGTTGAGTATCACAGAATTTTTAAGCTATAGAAAAATCTTGATTTAAGAAAGCCACTTTGTATCTTTTTTCATCACCTTTCTATGACCTTGACATTTTGCTCTATTGGAACAAACATAATGTATATGCCGTATTTACTATTTTTTCAAATATCTTACCAAGTGGCAGTCACTCAAGGGACAAACAATTATTTTATTTATACACTTGATCACTTCCTACACTATATAATGCTATGGGTCTGTTTTGCAAATTTTGGCAAAACTTCTTCAGCATAAGTATTAGTTAGGCAACCTATAATTCTTTCTCATTTGGAGAAATTTTTTCTCATGTCATAGTAAATTGTCATCTGTGGGAAGTAAACACAGACATGTCTCAAGGTACTTACTGCCATTCATGCTTTCTCTTACTTTGTGCATAATAGCTAAAAGGTAAAACTTTTTTGGCTTAAAATATCAGTTTAGACATACCTATAGGTCAGGAAGCCATATTTGTGCTACAAGGTATGTTTCAAATCCAAGAATGAGACCAGAGAGTAATAAGGGTTGGGTAAACTCAGTATTTACTGGAAAGATTTTGAAATAGTAGGATTGAAGTTGTGATTTTAGGATATCACAGAGAGAAGCAGGAAAGTGTATTAAATAAGAATGGCAGGACAAAGAGAGAACAGAAAATGTGGAGTAAATGAGGTGACTAGCACAGTCAAGATCAAGTTCTAGAGAAGTGCACTCGGCTTCCACAGTTTACTCAGGACTTTAGGATTGGTAATAGGTTCATGATTCACAGATAAGGCAGATTGCTCATAGATACCCATGGTGGGCAGTACAGCAATAGTTTATTGAAAATTAGGGTTTTTTTGTTTTTGTTTTTTTATTTCTGACCGGTAAGGGGGTTGTAACCCTCGACACGGTATGGTCTGCACGATGCTCAGCCAGTGAGTGCAACGGCCATCCCTATATAGGATCCGAACCCACAGCCTTGGCTCTACCAGCGCTGCACTCTCCCGAGTGATCCACGGGGCTGGCCCGAAAATTAGTTTTTTTAATACAAAATTTTCAATAGTGATTTTTATTGTTACTTTTCTACGCTACTTTTACCCAAAGCATTTATACCACAATTAATGGAGATTAATGATTAATTCTAATATATGAGAATTTTGAAATCTGGGGACATTCAGAGAAAAGTTCTTGAAATAGAAGCCAGTAGTGTATTTGGGGGAATATTTATTTTCAATATCTTATTTGTGAAGCAAGACATTAAAATTGAATTACTGTATATAATATGGCATTTGTTGATACATATATAAGTACATTGCAGTAATTATGCATTAATCATTCTCTAAATTATTAAATGTTGGCTATACTCAAAGACTATATGATGAATAATATAAATGATTGGAAATAAATACTCCAGATTATTGATAGCGAATTTTATCATTATTCTTTTCCAAAGTATTCAAAATGTCAATAGTGGCTTTCCTGGAATAAAAGCCCAATTACCTTTTTTCACTGAATCTCCTTTTTAATAACCCTTTTTCAGCAAGTTTCATTTCCTTTGGGATATTTAACTGACACTTCTTAAAATAACAAATACTGTCTGATCAAGTGACAAAAACTGCTAATTTCTTTCATTGCATCACCTGCATACTTTTTGAGAGGAGTGAGAGAACACATATTTGCCTGCAAAACCCATGTACTTATTTAGAAAAACCTAGTTTTTCCCTACATAACTTGATGTACTGTTGCCCTATTTAGAATAGGTGTTTTGTAAACAATCAAGGTTTAATATGTTTTATGTGAGCAATTAAATTTTTATTAAAGTTGGCACATTCACAGTGGCTTTTCTGGTTTTCTTTCAAGGATCCTCTGTTTCACCTGGAATCTCACAGATCTGAGCGAGGAAGGGGCAGATGTCCTTTTGACCCCACCTCTTCCTTCATCTCCACTTTAATTGGTAATTATTGTCGCCGCAGATGTCAGGTTGTATTCATAATGATTTTGAAACTTATTTTTCAGCTTCAATTACATTCTTTCAACATTTCTTTGTATGATTTGTCTTGTCATATCTATTTACTGGTGCTGGGAGCAATGATATTAAATTTCATGCCATGCTAACTTCAGCAATTGGACTCTAAACTAAGCACAGATGCTACAAAGTATGTGTGTTTCATCCTGGAAAAATAACCAAAAAAAACCAACAACAAATTGTACTGAATACCTGATATAAGACATTTTGTTTGGTGCCATGTACTGTTCACAAAATCACGCAATTACATAAATCTTCATAAAACGTTAGCCAGATAAGCTGTCTTAAAATATGTTAATTCTTTGTGTTTCAATTACTCTGTTACTTTAGGGAAATTTTAATATTCTTTTCTTGGTATTTTTCTCTGTTACCAGCAGAATTCAACAGAAAGCTGTCTCAATTGAGAACTCCAAAGCTATTAATCTAAATCCCTCTTAATCTAGAATGTCAACAATGGAGGTTGACCAGCTCAAACTTTCACTAAATGTACACATCAGGATAATGGAATAGATTGACAAAGTCTGATCTAGATTTCAATTTGATTCAATTTAATTAGATGAGCTACCCCAGAATCTCACTTAAGATGCAACAAAGTGCTTTTTCTTTCTCCTTTTACATTATTTGGTGTTGGAAATGTCCCGCTGGTCAAAGTACTTCAGCGCTGTGGTAGCATGGACAGATGGATGAATTCCTAAGTATAAAGTTGAAGAGAGCAATCCCTGACACCTAACACAGGTGCTAATAAGAGTGATTCTGCTTCCTCAGTGTGGAGAGGATCTGATATAGATTGGTTGGTACAGATGTGCAGGTTCTATTACTACATTTGCAGTGTTTAGAGTTATATGCTAATATTAGGTCATCTTCCTTGCAGAAAATGAGAAAGTGTAAAATGAAATGTAGAGATTTCATAATCTAAAAAAATTGTTTAAAATCCCTCTCTGATGATTAATTAGGATATATTATGCTTGATTTGGAGTTGATACACATATCACTGTGTATTCTTCGGAATCTATGTTCTCTGAACTTATTCCAGACAGTTGATTTTAATGAGCCTCGCGTTCGTCCCTACACTCCCCCAATCCCAATCCTGGTACTCAGGTCCAAAAAAGTAAAGCCTCTAAAAACATATTTATTTATAAAGAAAAAAATCTTGTGTTAGTGCCAATTAATGGGAAATGTTTGATTCACTTCTAATTTAAAAGGGCTGTAAAATGAGAATTTCATATAGTAATTAAGTTCTACAGAGGCTTGAATAAAGAAGTGTAATATTTTTAAGAATAAAAATTTCTAAAAAAATAATTAAATAGCTTGAGTTCCTCTTCCAACCCATTTTTTTTTGTGTGTGTATATGTGTGTGAGTGTAAACAGAGTATGAAGAAAGGAGACTTTTTAAATGGGAATAGAATTGCCTAAGTCAATAGGAATCTAAACCTTGAGAACGACACTTTTGGTGAATGCCAGATCCATAAATGCTAGAAATTCCAAGGAAATTGGCAGGATGTAAATTAAAAATCATACATTTGATAGACTCATACAATCTTTTTCTAAAGTCTTTAGTGATTTTTGCAACTTCATAGATTTAAGGCTTTAAAATATCTGTAAAAAGAGACTTTCTTATCTTTATTTACCATATAATACCTTGCACAGAATAGGCCTCCTATTAATACTGATTATATGAAATGCTCACTGAGGCTCGTAAACATATATACAAAAAATAAATTTAGGAATATTGTTTATAGTAATACTATAAAGGGTATTGGAAGTTGAAAATTACTCAGTATGAATTGCTTCTATAGTGAAATCCTAAGAATATTAGAAGAGAAGACCAATTATTTTTAACATTTCATTTAAACGGTTAAAAATAATTTCTAAAGCCACTCTGCCACTCACCACTCAGAATACCTGGAGCTTCTTGGTGCATGAAGGCAGGAATTTAAAACCAAAAATTTTGAAGGAGGAAATGTTTCTGGAGGGATATTTCCAAGTGACTTTCGTTGAACTTCCAAATCTAATTACACTATGCTGAAATGTGAAGTGCTTGCCATCTGGGTGGCTATTTCACTTATTCAGAAGAGAAATCGAATCAAAGAGACCTCCAAGCTAAACACACAACTTATAGAATAATCCTTCCAAAGAGAAGAAATAAAAATATAATTCTCCACATTTATCCACTCACTTTCATCCCAAAGTACCTTGGAGAGATCATTCGCTCACTGTGGAAATGCAGCAGCCACTGGGATAGAAACTCGATAACCTGTGTGAGCCAGAAACTTTTAAAAGAGGGGAAGTAAAAATAATTCACCCAGTTGAAAAAGCATCAGGAATGTGGGCTGGAAAAATGAAGCTACCTGAGTTGGAATTTGGCAAGCTCGGTGCAGCTTACTCTAACAGGAAAAGAATGTATTAATGTGGTTATTTTATGACCACACATGCTCTCTGTGGATGGGTTAAGACAAGACTCCAGCAAAAAGATGGCCATTTTTAGACCATTGCTCCTTCTTTGTTTCTTTGTTAATTACATGTCACATAATGTTTAATGCCTGTTCTCTTGAAGACAAATTTAGCTATAAAACACTCAAATTGGTAGCAATACTTATAAAACTACAACGCTTCAAAGGAAAAAAAAATGCTGGCAAATCAGAGAATTTTCCATGTAATTTCTTAATTTTATATAGAATTTTAATTCCAGTTAACTTAAATTCAGTTGACTTAAGATCACATGGAGTAAAAGGTTACTAAAGAATTGAATAAATATTAAAGACTATTTGATAAGGTGAAAAAGACAAGCACATTTTTATTAAATTTATAGTCTAATTGAGATTTGAAATGTTAACTTGTGATAATTCTATTTGAAAAAAAGATTTAAGTAGTAAAACAAGCTCTTTATTGAGTTACGTTCTGTATGTTCAGAAACTGATGAAAATGAAATCATATAATGTTTAGACTCGGTCTTCAAATACCACCTGTAGTAACATAATTTATGTTGGCAGCATATAAGCTCACATCTCAGGTGCAATAATTCTGTAAGTTTAGCCAAGTTTTCCCCCAGTGTGATTACTAATACTATATTTAAAGCGGTTTTAAGTAACTGTCTGAAGAATACAAGGATTTACAACCTGGTTTGAAAGAAGTAGCTTGTTGAAACAATGAATCTTTAAGTAAAATGAATTGCTGTGTTACTTACATTCTTTGCCTTTCAGATCATCCAATGATACTTACTGCTTATCTTGCCACCAAATCATTCAGTTTCCTGACTGGCCAAATGAAAATCCAGGAAACTTTTTTTTTTTTTTTTTTTAAATTTCATATGTCATTTTGGCCAGGAAAGAATTATATCTGACTCTTTTCATCAGTTATATTTGATGTAATATTGCAATGTTCTCATTCAGTTGGTAAAAGCTTCAGTAACTTTAGGATCCTTTATATTCTCAATCCTACTGTCTTTTATACATACATAGAGAGAGAGAGTTGTTTTTTGTTTGTTTGTCTGTTTGTTTTTTAACATTTCCTTCTGACCCATAGCTGCATCACCAGTGTTTGGAGAAAATCACTCTGATTTGTCATTACCTTTTGACACTTTGCTTTGATTTTTTAATTTTGCTTTGTTCTGTTTTGTTTTGGCAGTTAGCCAGTAAGGGGTTCTGAACCCTGGAGTTTGGTGTTATAAGGTGGTGCTCTAACCAACTGAGCTAACTGGCCAGCCCTTGACAATTTGCTCTGAAAGTGCTAACTTTGCTGGGATCTTTTTAGTGCTATTTTTCAAGTTAAGGACCTACTAACTTTTATTTAAACTAAAAAACACTAATAGGATATTTTATAATCAACAAAATTTTCACTCTACACTTTTTTGTCCTATGTTACATTTTTCAGCAAATAAAAGTACAAAGTTTACAACCACTGAAATTTTATTTCTAAACTTTATTTCATAAAAATAAAACCTTTGTGAGTATATATCTTCATTATAAATTCTGTGAATTAAAGTCAATGCTGATTGAATGAAAGGGAGTTGTATACGTCCATATGGGGGGAAATTTAAGTGATTATTTCAAGTTCTCAATAACATTAAAATATTTTTTAGTAAATAATCGTTTCTTTTTAATAACTATATTTATATTCAGGGCAGAGTTATGAATGAATAACCTGGCAGAAAGTAGGGTTATATATTAGAAAAATAAATGAAAAAATCTAAATGAAGGTAAATGTATGTCTTTATAAATCATAATCTCTACAAATGTAACAAGAAACTGTTCTGAGTTGTTTCTTTAATTCACCCCAACTGGATAGAAAATTAGACTTCAAGTCATTCCCTCACCACGTTTCTGTCCCTAAAGAATATCTGTATTTTTTAATCCAAGGCTGTTGCCCTCTCACCTTTGGCAGAATGCCTTTATACACATGACCACTGTAGCTTCTGGTCATGACTTCTAGTCTCTAAGGAGCTATTTGAATACTTTGGTTATGGTTTCCTCAAAACGGAAAAAAAAAAAAAAAAGTCAAAAAAGGTAGCAGAAGGAAAAACAAAAAAAAAGCCCTATTCTTAAATTCCCCACTGATATTCTCTCCCTAGATTCTGGTTTGACCATGGCCAATGTCACTGGCTTGCCACCAGGAAAACTCAGAGTGTATCCGTGGCTGCCAACAAATGCCAATGAGGAGACTCAAAATGTACTTTTGTTTTTCCTTCACGTCTCAAACACACCACCTTAATATTGATAGCTAATGCTAATCATCTGCCAAAACAAAACAAACAAAAAGCCCAAACAACAACTAAATCCATGATAAAATCACATGTCCTTCCTGGTGTCTTTCAGCATTCGAAGCAGAGGAAGTATGAGCTGGGATGATGAAACACGCAGATGGATTATTTTTATCCATCCTTATCCTCCCAAGTGTGTGCTGTTTCTCTGTACAGTTATGTATGTCATAGT